CACAGGATGTAAATTTCTGTTTTTTGTTTCAATCAGATCTTATTTCTCTTTTAATCTTTTTAAATAAAATTAATTTTAATGTGACAAAACACGCACACGGCTTGTTGATGGGCTGCTGGGGACAGTAGCGGAAGCACTGGGAGGCTATTTTCGGTGGTTCTCACAGACATGTTCTTGTAAGTGTGTTTTTCCATTTTTTGTTGTCAGTCTGAGAGCACAGCACCAACTGAAGAAGTGTCCACACTGAGTGCATAACATGTGGTCACATCCTCCATTCTTCTGCAACATGAAACACAACATGTGAGCAGGCAAAGTCACATGACTTCAAAACAGCAAGAAACTCTCTCTGTGCGCACATGACTAAATACCTCGATTCTGCTGAAGCAGTGAGGACAGCATCTGCTGTTGTTGGCCAACCAGGTGTCATTCAGATTACTTTCCAGCGTTACCAGCATGTTACCATATCTGCTCACCAGCAGGCGTTTCCTCTCCTTACTGCCATGTTTATAGTCATTCACGAGAGCACTCAACCCCTCTGAGAGACACAGATAGCACAGAGCACAAAACAACATTTGCATCAACACGCAAAAGGCCTTCAGTGTAGGGTTAAAGATTAATCGAACAAAGTGCTACTATTCGAATCGGATCAAATAAATATTTTTTTTTTCAGTCGCATTTGTGACTTGTAAGTGCTGTAAAGTAATCTTACACCTCTACAGAGGCTGCTGCACTTGGATTGATGCTGTTGAGTCCTGCACTGACACGAGATACAATACTGGGACATCTCTATGTTGATTCTTGTACTTCCTGCTTTGAAATGCCGATGACTGACTTTATGATTTTCTTTGAAACAGGACAACATTCACACCACTCTTCCTGTGACTGAATATTGCCACTTTAACATTAATAACCAGTACACCAAAAAATTATCAGTTTAAAAAACATACTTGGATTTTTAGTAAACATAAGAGATATCCACATAGTCACTGAAATAGTGTGCCTTTGTGTACCGTGTGACTGTGGCAAGTCTAGGCTTTTTAAAACGGTTTGCAATGCATCTCTTGCATGTTTTTTCTTGGTTTCACACTCTTCTAATCCATGATAGGTCCTTTTGCACGTGACGCAGAAGGCAAAGCCGCACTCAGAGCAAAGCACTGCATTGCTGGACTTCTCCAAAATAACAGCAGAGCCACAGGATGTTCGAGGACAGTACATCACATCTGCGAGACAAAAACATTTATTGAAAAAGAGCTAAAGATGTTCTTTCTGTCTGGTCTAATACAGAAATGTAATAAATACATTCCAATCAGTGTATGAAAACCTTTACGACACACTCAATTTAACAGCAACAGAAACGGACCAGACATGCTGTCCAGAGTGTTCTGCAGCAGGAGACGGTCATAGCGGCTGAACAGCTTCTCCCCTACCAGACTCTGCACCTACAAACACAACAGAGACGAAAAAGCAGAGAAACAAAGTGAGGCCGAGGTCAGCTGATCGAAATTCCTCTGCCCTTGATCCTTCTACCTGTAGCTCTTTTTAACAGCTTTTAAAATGTGTTTTGATATTAGATAAAAGGATCAAACACTACAGTTGTTGAAACCATTCTGCAGGTTGAAGGCTGCGTGTAGCTTCTACCTGTGCAGGTGTAGGGGCACCAGCGCAGTCTGCCTGAGGACAGGTGACACCCCGGACGTTCCCCTCTGTGATCTGAACCGTACAGAACTCGCAGAGACAGGCCCGGCAGAAGACGTGGCCACACGGTGACAGCTTCACGCACTCAGACCCGAGCCGGCCCATAAAACAAACCCCGCAGTCAAAGAAAGTCGTGGCAAACACTTTGTGTTTCTGGGCCGCATCATAGATCAAAATGTGGGACAGCAGAGTCTGTGATGGAGATAAAAAGAGACCAGAGAGGGTTTGCTCTTCACTCTGAGGAGAATCTGTGGGGTGGACCGGCAGAGAAGCAGCTCCAAGTTCACTTGGATCTAATGTGCCTGAGGAGCTGGAGGGAAGCAGCGATGAGAGAGAAGCATCTCCTTCATTTAAGAAATCTTCCCGGACACTTTGATGATGCTTGGATTTCTCTGCAGATAAAGAAAGATCATCCTGGGGATCAACGTTAAACTCTGAGGCTTGGAGGATTGTCACATCTGGAGTTTGTGCGGTTTGGTTTTGGAGTGCAGGCTCTGGAGAAAGAGCTCTTTGATAATCTGAGGTAAGATCACTCTGGCTCTGGTGAGAGTTCAAATCATTCTGCTCATGCTTGCAGGAGTCTAAAGCCGAAGCTCCCTGAGAGTCTGCGCTGCTCCCGTCTGAAGGATTCTCCTGAACTTCCGAGGATGGTACAGAGAACTCTGGCTCTGAATTGTTCTTTGGTTCTGAGGATTCAGCATCGTGTTGGTCCTGGTTATAATGCAGGGTGCTGCGTTCATCAGGAGGAAGATCCAGCTTACTGTGGATGTTCAGGAACCTCAGAGCGTCTTCTCTGAGAAACTGCACCCAGGAGAAGAGCACCACAGCTCCCCCAGTGGCCTCATAGAGATCAGCGAGATGGGCGCGCAGTGCAGCCAACTGTGGAGGGAGAGGGAGAATAGATTGTTGTCATCTTTACTGAGCCTCTACAATGTCCTGTGAACCTCTCACACACTGGCAGGATGAACACGTGACCAACAATGACTTGACTGCTAAATACCTGTGTGTGAGTCAGCCAGCTGCAGGTGAGGCTGAAGGAGGGAGGAGAGGAGGAGGGGTAGTCCTCAGGAAGCCCAAAGTTCAAAAGCAGCGGTGGAAGGAAGGAAACATCATACTGACGCAGACTTTCACCTTAGAAAGAAAAATACGAGGTCATCAGATGAACTATTCTCTTTGTGTAATGTTTGTTTATTTGTTTTTAAATTATTTGGGTGTATTCAATAGAAAATATTTGATATATTCTGTCACATGAACTCAAATGGCAAAAGCTATGAATGATGCTTGATGACATTAAGCTGTTCAAAGGTATATTTAATATAGATATATTTAATTCATCCATCATACTTCCCATTTAATGCCAACAAAAACATTACATTGTTACGGGCTCGCCTAATGCAGAACAAGTGTTTCACTCATTTTACATCATTGGCTACATAAAACCCATTTTTATCTTAAGTAGATGATTAGGGCTGCACCAGTAAAGGTACTTCCTAATATTCCAAACCAACATTTTCCAAAAACATCAGATTGGACCTTTTCGGTCTGATTTACCCTCTCTGAGAGCCACGCTGAAGCCGACAGGAAGCTCGACACACACTCGGATTTCTCCGGCAGACTTCGACTCGTCCCGAACAAACTCGTCCGCATCGAAAATACTCTGGAGAGCGAGCAGCTCGTCTTCCTGCTCCTCCAAGTCCTCAGTCATCTCTTTCTCCTCGGTCTGGTTTTGTGAGAAGCCTTCCTTCTCTGAATACGTTTTCCTGCTTCTTGTTGAGGCTGAGGTGACTCTGGGTCACACCAGCCTCTTCCTGGTCCTTGTTTGTCCGTCCCTCTGACTCATCAGCGTATGATGTAAGAAACAAAGTACAGGCAGCAACCTCAGCCTACTGTAAACCTGCTGCTAATGCAAACCAGTCAAACAGGCAATTCAGCATGTAGCATTACGAGCCTTTCTTTGCACAAATAGTCTGTGTTATGATGTTACTGGGAATGTCTGAATGATGCACCCAAACAGGAATTTTACAAAATGATTTTTTGAGTCTATTTAATTGATGTATCAAATGCAAAATAACTGACAGGGAGAGTTATTTTGTGATTAAGATGTGACATAAAATTACCCCCCCCCACACACACACACACACACACACACACAGGCAGAAAATCATACAGAAGCATTGGCCACATATTTCAGAGTAGCCACGGGGTGGGTGGGCTGTTGGAAGCATCCGGTGGCTCCACTGTCCTCCTTTGTGACAACTGATCAGCACCTGCGGTTCAGTTGGATCAGGGTGGTGTTGTAGGATGCTGAATAGTCATGTAGTATAATATACAGTGAGGCTGCACTGGGACTGTCCAGCCAAGACCTTTAACCTTCACCTCAAACAAAACTCCAACAGCATTCAAAGTGGAATTATGCTCAGCACCATCACTGCAGAGACAGATGTACGGAGCTGCAGCAACATTGCATGTAAGTTGGTGACAGTGCTTCTGGACTGGTAGATGGAGTGGTGGTTTCCCCTTATATAAAAAAGAGGAGGGTCACACTCTTCAGCCTCTCTGTAAAGGTCTATATTCAGATGCTGAAGAGAAGAGTCAATCCATTAGTTGGATCTCAGATTTAGGGATAACAGTGGAGTTTCTGTCCTATTCATGACACAATGGATGGTCTTGAGAGTGGGGAAAAAGAGCTGCTCCAGCTTTTGTTTTGTTTTTAACCCTCAGGATCATGATGATTTGTGATAGAAACACCTAAATAAAATCTAGTCAGGCTCTAAAGTGAGGAAGACATAACACTTATCTCCCCAGTCAGTAGGCATATATTACAACTTTTTTTTCAGAATTTGTCCTAAGGGTGGTGCTTAAGAAAAGTTATTAATAATGAAATATTCAGGGTTTGATTTTTTGCTATAGAAATCTGCTCCATTAGTGTTGCGGTTCACAATTCAGGCTAATGCGTGAAAGATTCCCAGTTTGAAACCAGGAAGACACAAATCTAATGAGATACTAATGAGACACAAATTATTTGTGATGCTACTTTCACTGACAGTAAGGCGAGCCTTTAATATTTCATGAATGTGTAAGTAACAAGAACTGCGCAGACTGGCTAAGGGCAAAACAGAAGCTATCATCATATTCATTAGAGTGACGTTAACTATAAAAAATTAATTTAAGGTCCATTTGCTGTTTTTTAAACTCTCCTCTATACCCTTGTTCCTCATCATAGACTGAACTTTGATAGACCACATGTGGCATAACTGTCATGCTTTACATTTCTCATGAAACACTCAGCCAGATATTATCACGGGAATGAAGAACATGAGCAAAAACATTTATTTTGACAAGGCAGTGACCTCATTTTTTATATATTTTTTTTGAAATTTTATTTAAACTTTTTCTCTTGAGCCGCAGGGACTGCACTTGACAATGACAAAGAAATCTGATTCAACAGCACAAATTAATAATAACACAATTTACAGTTAATGCTATTTTATACTGTAATCTGACAGCTACAAATATGAGAAATATTATGGCACAAATGCTGCCACCACCATTCAACCACATACAGTGATGTGATCTAAGTGCTTTGTTAACTTAGGTAGTCAATATTAGACATAATGAAACAGAAATGTTAATATCCATCAGTTGTGGCTGTAGTTTTCCCTCAGATTGAGTGGGTTTTGGCTCTCCAACATTTTCTCTGCCTTGCTCAACAGCTTTAGTTCTCTTTGGGATTTGAACTGGACACTCAGTGGCCTGGGGGCTGTTTTGGATTTCAAGATGGCAGACAAAGCCCTGGGACTTCGTTGGGTTTTTGACACAGCACTTTTCTGGGCACTGTCAACAGATGCTGGAAAGAAGGAAATAGAGTATTTACATGCTCTATTTATCCAAAACTAAATCAGCATTTTACAAATTCTCTGTATCATCAATTGTTCTCTAAACATCATTTTATTATTCAGATAAGTGATTCATATATTCAAAGCACTTGTGAAAAACTGTCATCAAATATTTTAAGGCTGCTGAAGTTTGGCTCTAACTGTTGGAAGGAGGGCCTCTGACTCCCACCTGACACCTGGACGCTCTCTTTCTTGTGTCTTTCTTCCCAGGAGTTGAGCTTGCAGGTCCTGGAGCAGTAGGAGACCTTGTTGCAGCGCCTTCCCGGGGTCAGATTCACAGACACTGAGCGACCGCAGTGAAAACAGAACTTTAACACTGGTTTCCTGAGAACAAGTTTACACGAAAAGAGTCACAAATAAGTTACTAGAAACTGACATTAGTTAAAGTAAAAGTTTGAATGACAGACAACAGGAAAAAGGAACTAGAGCAGCACCTTACTGTAGATGAATGTGAGTGTATGTGTACCTGTGCTCTTGTGTTTCCTCTGGTAGGCTTTTATTGCTGGCAAGAGCCTTGTTGGAGGAAAGGTCTCCTGCCAATCATGCAGTACACATGCACGCACGCACACACGCACATCCACGGACACACACTCTATGATTTAGAGGCATATTCAATAATAAAAGGACAAATGCATTACACCAAGTATCCAGTGGAAGCTATTCTCTCTATATTACCAGCTTCCGTCTCAGCAGCAACCTGCCTCATCAAGTCTTCCATCTTGCTCAGCAGCTTTTGCCGTGCTTCGAATATTTTTCTCTCCCGAATGCTCAGAGCGTGGAAAGGAGTATTAGCAATATGTGAGTCCTAAATAGGAGCATAAAGGCAGACAGGAGTATAAAAATATATATAAAAATAAAACTCTAAAAAGCCTTCTCACTCAGCCCCCGTGTACACCAGCATGGCCCTCCATGATTAACATAAAATGCTGGATGAACCAGTAAGGTGCAGCACTGCCAGTACCTACAGCTGATAGTCACTGGACATTCTTCAGCAATTCACATTAAATGCATTCAATGTAGTATGGCTGGAGTGTTACCTGTTTGAAGGAGTAGCGTGCATAATCAACTGCAGTTCCAACAATGCCACACACTGTAACTGGCATCAAGATATCAGCTCCAGCCTTGGTTAACGTGTCCAACTAAACCAAACAAAAGCCGTACTGAGGTTAGGAAAACTTATTTTCTCTGAAAGCTGAACAAAAGTGACTCATTTGAAGTCATTAAGAACACATTTATCTTTGATCGCTGCACAAAAAAAGTACAAATGTTAATAAATTAATTTTTAAAAACGTTTCGTCGTCATTATGTGTTTGTGTGGGTACCAGCTTAATTCTGTGCCCAACTAAGTGGTAGTTGATGTTGCTGAGGGCACAAACCGCACTCCCCACCCTCCAGCCCAGGGGTAAGTTGGGATCTGCACCTCCATTCAACAGCTCCTCTACCGCCTAAACGAGGAACAACGAATAGTGTGGGACAAAGAGAGGTTTGGCTCTCACGTGCATGTGTGAGTGTGCATGCACAGCGAGGTCGTACCATATCATTGCCACTTGCTATAGCCAAGGAGAGAGGTGAGTGGCCGCTCCAGAGAAGGTCTGTACTGGCTCTGTGGGAGAGCAAGATGGCAACCACTTCACTGGCATTCTGGGAAGGAAAATAAAGGTGTTTTTTTACCTTAAATATTCATCAGTTCTCCGCATTTTGCTTTGATGCAGCAGTAAGGTAATCATTAAATAGTGCTGCTGTGTTTAGCTGTGACTGTATGCATGCTGACCCTGTAGTCACTTTCTCTCTGGCAGGCAAAATGTAGAGCGGTGCGGCCTCCTTCTTTGAGATGTGGGCTGGTATTCAGTGTTTCTGTGGCCTTTGTGGAAATCTATAACATATATAGGTACATAAAAAAGAAAAAGAAGGTTAACTAACACAAACACATTTACGTCTAAAACCCAGGACTCTAAAACCTACACACCTTGTCTGGTTCATAGATCTCGTCCTGGTCGCACGCCTGTACGTCTGGGTCGGTGATGGCGTGCAGCAGCAGCTGTGTGATTCTGGGACCTGCTGGACCTGGCAGTGCTGCAGCTACATGCAGGGGATACAAGCCTTTCCTCTATACAAACAAGCAGATTTTCAGGTGAGTTTAATGTAGGTGCTTTTTTTTTCTTTCTGTGTTTGTGGATTTTTTCTTTTGTGCCTGTACAAAATATTATTTAAATTTGTTTAAAAGTTGAGCTCCTGCCTCTGGTGGAAGAGGGATGTCAGTGCGAGCTCCGCACAGCAGCAGTTTCCTCACATTCTCAGTGTCAGCTGCCATAATGGCTAAAAAGAGCACGGGCATGGGGATCCTGGCTGCATTGGGATCAGCTCCACGGTCCAACAACAGTTTCATGGTGTCCAAACGAATGCGGTGCCTGCTCAGACAGAACACACACAGGTTACTTACACTGATCAAACATAACATTATGGCCACCTGCCTAATATTGTCCCGGTCCCCCTTTTACAGGCAAAACAGCTCTGACACATCGAGGCATGGACTCCACTAGACCCCTTAAGGTGTGCTATCTGTACCAAGATGTTAGCAACAGATCCTTTACCTCCTCTGTGTTGCTAGGTGAGGTTCCTATAGATCTGACTTGTTTGTATAGCACATCCCAAAGATGCTCGACTGAATTGAGATCTGACCTCCAACTTGTTGTGCTCCTTAAACCTTTCCTGGACCATTTTTGCTTTGTGGCAGGGTGTAGCCATCAGGGCGTACCTTTTCCATGAAAGGGTGTAAATGATCTGCAACAGTGCTTAGGTAGGTGGTGCATGTCAAAGTAACATCCACATAAATGGCAGAACCCAAGACTTCTCAGCAGAACACTACTCAAAGCATCATACTGTCTATGCCAGCTTGCCTTCTTCCCATAGTGCAGCCAGGAGTTTTCCAGGTAAGCGACACACACACAGAATAAATGTTCTTCTCAATAAATGTGAGCATGAGCACTCTGACTTATCTGCAACTTACCAGCAATAACTTTTTTGAGTACCTGGTCTGTTGGATCAGTACAGACGGGCCAGCATTTGCTCCCCACATGCATCACTGAACTTTGGCGAGCCATGACCCTGATGCTGGTTCACCATGGTTCCTTCCTTAGCCCACTTTTGGTAGCTACTGACCACTGCAGACTGGGAACACCCCACAAGAGCCACATCTGACCCCATCCTCTAGCCAATAAACGTTTGTCAAATTGGCCCACTTCTCCTTACGCTTGTCCATTTTTCTGCTGCTAACAGATTAACTTTGAGGACAAAATGCTCTCTTTCTTCCTAAAATATCCCACCAACTAACAGGTATAATTAAAAGATAATCAGTGTTATTCAGTGCACCTTTCAGTAATCATAATGCCTGATGGATGTATATGCATGGTGAAACAGAACAACAGAGTGATCACTAGAGCCAGCAGCAAATTAAATACAAAATAAAAAGTAAAATGAGGCAGAAAGAAAAAGGACTGACTCTATTTTCATAGCAGCCATTCTGCGTACTGTCTCCTGCGTGCTGCAGTGCATGGAAACCCCTGTGCGACTCAGAGCTTCAGCAGCGAGCTGGATCATTTTGTCTGTGACTTGAATTTCGTAGCTTCTGAGACAACAGGTGGAGTCAAAGCTCTGTTTTGAGGGCAGATCTTTGGCATGCTGCAGAGACAAACACATTAACCAACTCATCAAACCAATCACAGAGAAGCATCACTCCACATTACTCATGAACCCTTGCTTGCTACCTTAGCTTGAGCTCCCTTCCACTGCACGGTGCCCAGTTTAATGTGACCATCCAGCACTTGAATGGAGCGTTCTACAAAAGACACCTCCTCTTTTCCACTCTCATCGCTGCCCTCTATATCCTCCACATCTTTCTCATCCTCCTCGCAACTCTCCTCTTCCAGGTAATCTGTGCTTAACTCGTTGGTCTCAGCAGACTCACCCTGTTTGTCTTTCTTGTCCCCCCTTTTAAATTCTCTTTCTGTATCTTCAACCTCACTGTCACTGGATGCTTCACGGTTGAGAAGTGAAATGTGTTCAGTTGGTTCTTCTATTGATCTGAAAACACAAGAAATAAATACAGCAGTATTTTATCAATGAATTCATAATCAGTTATGTTGTTTGGCTTCATTTAGCATTGTGTGTGAATTTAAATCATTAATAGTGAACAATGTGTGAGTGAAGGGACATTAGCTACAATCCTACTGGTCAGAGAGGTTGTTAATTAACGATGTGTCCGTATTGAGGTCGACTTGGCTGATCTGGGGAAATAAATGTCAAGAAAAAGGGAGAATATCTGTGAGAAAACCATAGGTATCTGAGACGAGTTGAACTTTTGATAAAACCCAAAGTCACGGTGCCTCGTGCTGGATCTTACTTGGTTTCTAGCAGGTGGTTCAGCTCCAGTGATGTGCAGAGATTGAAAAGGATAGTAGAGGACATGACACACAGCCAGGGCAGACATGCCTTCACAGTTCATCTTGTCAATATCAACACCCATGTCCAACAACAGGTGGATCACATCATTATGGCAGTTTACCTGACAGAAACAGAATATGAGACATGAGACTACTTCAGATTTTAACCACGGGCAAAATGTTAAAACCTTTTATTTTGCTGTGTTCAAAATTTAGTAATGTGTTACGGTGGCAGCGATCAGAGCTGTGTGTCCGTGCGAATCTGCTACATCAGGGTAGACTAAACCAGTCCTGAGGATCTGTGATACAGCGTGCAGGTCTCCTTTGGAGGAGTGCTGGATAAGCAATTCTGAACTGACTTCCAAAGGCCCTTTAGGACCAAAACTGTCCCTGTTCATAGAGAGAACGGCTGCCGTGTCCCAGCCCACATTTGCAGCCTGCAGCCTGAGAGACAAACACATAAAGTTCCACGAATGTTGCAGACTCACAGATCTAATTGTCAGTGTTTGGACCCAGTCTGACCTGTGGTTGTGTATGTGAGCTTGAAGGCGGGCCTGTAATGGCATTGTGGACAGTGGGTCTCTTGCATAGCCTTGGTAAGGATGAGCGTCCGGCTCCCACAGCTCGCCATAAAAATGTCGATCCAGCTCTGTCCTTCGACCAGGGGGGAGTGGCAAGTGGTCGCCATCTGTTGAGTAACTCTCCATGCCAGGTGGATAGATGAAAATCTCATCTAACAGCACATCTCTGTCTTCATCCCCCTGAAGGTGATGAGGCGTTAACTGATCTGCGTCATATTAACTCAGAGAGCTCATCCAATTATTCATTAAAAGCTGTGACTTACCTCAGAGTGTGTCCTTTTTTGTTGCTGTAGACCACCAGAGATAGACTGAGGTGTGAGAAGGGTACATTTATGGTAAGTTTAGATGTACGCAGTAAAATATTAATCATCAGATTTTCTGCTGTAAACACCATCTGTGTTACAGCTGTGAAAGGGCATGACACAGCATTAAGCACTGCTCTTATTTCTAGGCTCTTATTTCTTATTCATTATTATTACTGTAGGTGACACAACATGTACCTGGGTCAGGGATTTTTCAGTGACTGATGGATCCATGTAGGCAGAATATTCAGGAAAACTCTTCAGGCTAAATCCCTCTTCCAAAGGGGTACACAACCTTAGCAGGTGGTCCTTGAGCCACAGACCCACATCCTCTCGCCCATCTGGATATTTGAGCACACCTGGACCAAACCTCTGATCCATGTGGTACAAGCCCTGAGAGGAGGGGAGAGATGCGTTGTTTTATGACGTATCTATAATCTAAATAACGGTTCAGCTTACCTGAAAGACAGCTCCATCGGAGAACACTTGCTGACCATATCCCTCCCTTCTGTTGAGGTAGAACTTGCCAATGAACTTTTGGCCCGTGGGCCAGCAATACAGTCCATCTCCATGCTTGTAGTCTTTGTAGAAAGAGCCCTCATAGTACTACACCAAAGAAAACAACCCACGGGTGTATTTGTATCTAAATTACATTTAGCTTGGCTTTAAGGTGTTCACACACTAAAAGCTAAGGGGTAGGAAATGCTCAAGTGAAATTGTTTAATTCTTTAATATGTCACACACTACCTCTCCATTTGTCCAGCTGTACCTTCCTTTGCCGTGTTTGAGGCCGTTTATAGACTCTCCCTCATATTTGGAGCCGTCGGGCCACTCCTGCACACCGATTCCTTCTGATATCTCCCTCCCGACCCGAGCACCTTCGCGGTCGTTGCTTTGTCTAACTGACCCCGGTGTCGTAACCGGCTCCGCACCTCCTCGCCCCGCAGCCGGTGCCGCACCTGTGAAGGCCGTCGACAGCATTTTACCCTCGTTCTCCCGAGTCCGGTTGAGGGCAACGACAATTCACTTTAGCGACTAACTACAGTGTTTGTTTGGAAGCGACAACTTCAGGTCTCACAAGTCAGATTTGTGTTTTAACTTTCCAGTAAGCAACTGGTTGTCATGACAATAGCAGAGGCCGCGCAGGTGGAGTAGCAGGTTTCTCTCACGCATGCGCAAGAAAGAAGGAAAATAAAAACATTTGCTCTGCTTGGTTGTACTTATGTAAAAATAAAGCAAATAAATACGTAAATAAATAAATTTATTCTTATGAATCAATACACTTTTAATTTTTGGTTACAATGTGGACAATATTATTATCTTTGTTTACCAGGGGCGGTAAACCCACATATGCAGGTGTTACATATGGTTAAAAGGATTCAAGTGCAATAAGTATACATGTTTCATATAAGTATAGTCTAAAACTTAATTATTAGCCCACCTAATTAACATTTTGGTTACAGAAAACATGTGAATTTTGATTTTATGTACTGTACAGCTTGTATAATAAATAAATATGTAGACCAAAAAATCCAGAAAGCAACAACAAAAAACAACAAAAACAAAACAACATGGAACTCAAGTCTAACTTGTGTTTCACACTTTTGTGGTAGAAAAAAAAATCTAATTGTTACATGCTTGAATTTACACAAAATGTCAGAAATCTGCACTGTCATGAAGGAAAATGTATAACTTAATTTTTCATGATTTGTTGGGTTAACCCTCTGAGGTCCAAGCC